ACATCCCCTTCTTCACTGCGTACACTCTGTGGTGAGTTCTGCAATAAAGATACCATAAATTACAATAAAATCTAGTGTATGTAGATATACATGAAGCTCATTTTATTATAGTTTTTCAGTGGGGTGCTTAATATACTCGATGAAGAAAGACATTTCAAATAGTTTAACCCAGTTTTTAGTGCAACGTCCAAAAATTTCACTCCCATTTTTACATGATTGGGAATTTACCCTATATGTTATTTATCTTATTGTGAATGATTTATCTGTGCACGGTTTTATTTATTTATTATTTCACAATTTTCAGTCAAAATTTGATCTTCAGGTGAAATGACAGACTTCTCTGGTCATGTTTGCTGAAATTATCTAGTCATTTAGTTGCTTAAATTCTGTCTCTGTCTTACAATCAGATTTGCCTCCGTCCAATAAACAACTGATAGATAGAACCAAGTTCCACCCTACACATTTTTTTTCCCGATATATGTTTCATTCGGATGTACGTCACAATATGGAAGAAAGGATCTGTCACTACTTTTATTTGTGACTTAAATAGTGCCTCAAACATAATTTATTGTATAGTATGTTTTCATTACATGAAATGCAGTTGAATTGACGACAGTTGAAAACATCAACCTGATCTTGGTTTTGGTGTGAACCGTTCCAATCAAAATATTTTGTTCAAGTCATTGCTGTGTCCCAAAATACATACTATACTGTGCACTTATATAATGCACTGTGTAATCAACCATCAAGTGTATGAATTTTAAATGGTTATTTTGTTATCCAACATTGGAGTCTGATAGCCCCTCCCCCTCTGCCATGTAAGGAAAGCTGCGGCAGTCCAACATTCCACGCTTCATTTTCGGTTAATTAAGTGCATCATTCGGGTATTTAAAGTGCACTTTTAATTTTTGGCATTTTCAGTATAAACACCCTACTCACACTATTGATGCTAAAAACTGCATGGAATAGTGCACAAGTACGCAAATTGGGACGTGTAGCACTACTAATAGCAAAAAAATGCGTTTGAATAGTTTTTGGTGTCAACCGGTGGACATTTCACATGTAAATCACGGTCAAATGTAGCACATCAACATTTGCAAGAATGTATGTACGAGTATACATATTCATGAGACCAGGCTGAAACTGTTCATCTCTATCTTGACTCCAGAATCTAGTGGGTTATAATTCTCCACTGCCTTTGTAAATCTGTAGAAGAAGATTGACAGTAAAAAGCTGCTGTTCCTCTTTTCATCCATTACTTTTTCACCCATAGGTTTTTTGCTGTGCCAGTCATGGCTCTAATTGCCAACTTTGGCATCTCTCGGTGGGCCAGGGAAAAGATTGTGAACGGCATCCAACTTGGCATCCATCTCTATGCCCATATCGTCTTCCTGGTATGATGTTGTTGTTTATTGCTTGCTTTATTCAAGCGAATAATATGATAAAACACCCCTGCATGTGACTAATCCTGTCATTCTAGGCCATCACACGTCCGTCAGCAGCCAATAAGAACTTTCCTTACCACGTGCGGACGTCACAGATAGGAATCCTTCTCTCCAGTCCTAAAAGCAAGGGGGCAGAATGCTTCCCTCATCATGCTTATGGGAATAGCTCCTTCCTGGGAGACTCTCAGCCAAACTTCACAGAGCTCTTCTCCATCCACTCAGTGAGTATTGGATGTTGTAGATGATTCAAATATGAGTTGAATAATAAATGAACTTATTTTGATGGTAATATAATCAGTCTGGGCAGATTTTCAAATGATTAAGCTACACTCTTAAATGGGTCATGACATGGATTTACTTATTCTTTTAATATGTTCCTTGAGGTTCACTAATAATGAATCTCAAAGTTTCATTGCGAACTATCCATTACATAACTGCCTCGTTTACAAAACAAAATGATCTGACTAAACAATCCTCTGATGCAATCTGGCAAGGCATTCAAATAAACCATCCACTTGTTTCTGATGCTACAGAGACACAAGCGTGCTGGTTAAACTGGATGCGTCAAAGCGAACAGTCTTTCACTCTTCCATTTGTCCTGTTGTCGACAGACAAGTGTGAAACTAAACGCGCATCTGTATACTGTATCCAGACAGCATCAGTGATTCTAATGGGTTCTATTTGCTTTAGCAACGCTCACATCCAGTGTAGGCAAATGTCAGCCAATAAGCAATTGAATGCCAGTGGGAGGTAGCCTGGTTAAACCAGACCATTCTCAGTTGTAACTGAGTTATGGTCTGGCAAAGCGTCATAGACAAATCATTTCCAGAGGGGCGTCACCAACGGACGTCGCGGATAGACCTAAAACCAATCAGAGCGATGAAGGAGATGACGTATGCAGAGCGGCGGAAACATCTCCGAGTGTTGTTCTTTGCTCGGTTTTTAACAAAAAGGAAACGTTCAAATCGCGTAAAACAGACGCGATAGCTGATTCGAATGAGTGATGTTCGACGGCGGCATCCATCTTTGTAATGTTGGCTACAAACTCCCAGCGCTGTCGTCATCGTGTAAAGCCCGCCCCAACGTTTCTGATTGGTGCCTCGATTTCGACGGATTGGAAATGGGCTTGAATGAGCTCTTTGCCAGACTAACTTTCAGAGCAAATCTAAATTTGCCGGAAGTTGTCTGGGTTTTCCCGGGCTAAGTGGGAGGGGGTATATAATATTTAAACAAGTCATTTTTGGAGCTTGATTAAATAAATGCTTTGTTTATAATCAGGAGGACATGTTAAAGAGTTCACCCAAAAATTTGAATTCTGTCATTACTCATCCTCGTGTCGTTTCAAACCCGTTAGATCTTCAGAACACAAATTAAGAAAGATCTCGGATTTAATAAAAAATATCTTAATTTGTGTTCCAAAAATGAACGAAGGTCTTACAGATTTGTAACAACATGAGGGTGAGTAACTGTTGACAGAATTTTCATTTTTGGGCGAACTAACCCTTTAAGCCAAAAACTTGCAGGATGTTTAAATGGTAAAAGGACAAATTTCATTTCTCAAGTCAAGTAATTTTTATTCTTTTGAAAACTTTTTTCCACTATAATGAACCTTTTGTGAAATGGAAATGTTCCATGGGTGTTAAAGGTTCTTAATGGAACCATAGATGCCAATAAAGAACCTTTATATTTAGGAGTGTTCAATCGTGCTATTTCTTATATTCCATGTCATGTTTCTCTATATAGGACCCTGTAAAGACGATAGATGAGACGGTGACTCGGAAGGGACAGGAAGTGCCAAGGAACAGCGAGCACAAGATCATCACCACAACGGCAGACCTGTCGTCTACATTCTCCCCTCTTCCTCCTCCAATACCACCACGCAGCTCTGCACACTCTCCCCCTCCTCCTAGATTAACATCCCACTTCACAGAGTATTTTAGTATGCAAGGGGCCACTGGGATTCTGGGTTCCAATGCCTTGAGCGGGCCGTAGAGGAACAGGCCATGCGGAAACAACTTTCAAACATCTACGAGGTGGAAAAGAGTTCAATATTTCAATAGATTAGGTTAAGGCAAGCGTGAAAAAGTAAAGCCATTTTCAAAAAAGTTACCAAACATCCGTATCTTTGAATTTGTAAAGGGAAACGCAAACTGCAGAACGTCGAGAGAGAGTGGGGCATAACCTGCTCACAATGCTCCTAAAAAAATAAGAATAAGAATAAGAAGCAATAAATATTTCAGTGAGATGATGTAGAGTCACTGGAGAGAGATAAAATACAGGCAGTGCAATAGAGTGACAGGAGACGACGGTGAATCTAGAGTATAGCTATTTCAAGCTTAACGTGACTTTAGGATAGCGATGTGTACAGTAACAGTACAGTGAGCTCTTGACATATTTTTTTAATACTTTGTTCATTTCAAGTGTTGCCGTTAATATTTGTATTTCGTATTCATCTCCATCACAATTTTTTTTTAATGTTTTTTTATTTACTAATTTTGTCTGTGAAGTTGAGATAATTTAGGGTTTATATATTTTTATTCACATTGAATACGGTTAGAGACTTTGCAAACTGATGTTAAACTGCAATGGCAAGTTAACTGGAACAACTAGGCAGTATTTGTATACCATGCATGTTTGTGCTTTGTCTACATGCGGATATATTCAATGTAATTTTGGGTGTGCCTGGTTTTTACAACTAGCGGTCTTCATTTTGTAAGCAGTACGCACTGTTTATAGCCACAGTATGTAGAGAATATTTAACTCAAGCGGACGATGATGATGATGACAGCCTCATCTTTATCCTGTCTTTCTGTGTTGTCCATTCCATAATAGCAGATAATACAGTGCAGGGGTTTATGGAGTTCAGATTCAATTACAGCTAACTTTGTTATACATTTGTACATGTAATAACACTCGCAGCGGTCATGAAGCGGATACTTCTATTCTGTCTGTGAGTGGAAAGTAGAATCATTCAGTCCACTGGGGTTGTCGTACGTTTTGTTTACTTGAGTGTCTGATGAAAATATAGCTCTACTCTTACAGAAACACTTTGTATTGACTGCATGGAGCACTTTACTGTTTTTCATTACTATCAGAGACCCTTGAAAATGCAATCATAATGCAATAGAGTGAATGACAAATGTACAGGTAAAATGTGAAGGTTTTATCTGTAAAATGCCCATTATCACTGCTGTGTTTGTTTTATTTTAAAAGAAAAACAAGCTGTGGGTCGTATTTATGTTATATATATATATGAACATATCTTATATAATCTCCAGCTGAAATTGACCCGTTTTAAATCTAAGCCTTTAAGTTATGTACATAATGACATATTTATATTCAAAATTGTTTTTTAAAGAGATGAACCATTCTTGAAGAATCATTAAAGCTAGGTTCGTGTTAATTTTTTTTTTTTTTGTATTAACAGACATGTATGGGCCTGAAACGCTTGATTTGCAACTTGATTTGTCAGGAAGCCACTAGAAAAGGTTATGCCATGATTTTTTCCCATCTCTTCAGTGAGTGTGCACACCTAGCAGAGAAGAGACAGAACACTTTTTGAATGTATGATAGATAATAGCACATCACATTCGGGAGCACAGAAAGATACAGTTAAGCACATTTCTGTTGCACTGTTCATACTGAATGCATTTTAATAGTGTCAAATGACTTGGCAGTGCACACCCTTTTTGCCAAATTAAAATGGTCTGTTTTACTACAATGGCTTGTTTGTTTCTTTTTGCAATTAGATTACCAATGAATGTAGCTAATTGTAAACCTACTACTCTAAAGTACAAACAATTCCCTAACAAATTATTGCCATGGGGCTTGAAAAGTTTAAAACCATGTAGTCACATCCCTTCATCAAAGTGAATCCTAGATTTTACAATATTTATAATCAAAATTTGACCCATTTTTATATACGAACATGTTGACCCATATTGGGATGCAAGAAAATAAAAGCAGGGGGTTGCACCCAAATAAAGATAAGTACTTTAGAACGAACAAATTCATAAAAAATAGTATCTTTCTAATATCTATGTATACTTTCATTCGCTTGTCACACCACGGGTTCATCTGGAATTAATTGGTGAAGACAAAATGCCAATTAAAAATGTCAAAAAAAAAAAAACATCATCTGTTTGTGACCAGTTACAGGACCCCAGACACGCTCATCTTACACAGATATATCCATTTTGATTTTAAAATTCTGATTAAAAAAAAAGCCATGGGCATGTTAGATCATCAACCATACACACAATATTGAGAACAAAAACTGATATTTTAATTAAATGTATACTGGTTTATGACATGAATGAAATATAATGTACAAATACAGTGCAAGATTAGAAGTCCTTTTTCTCAGCGACCATTAGAGCTTTTTCTTCTCGGTACCCTTTCAGAAGTTGGTTTATCAAGCTCAGTTCACGGACACGTTTCACGGGGATCAGGGGAGGGAAAGGGTTGCCTTTGTACTCCAGGACAGCCATGGCTGCGTGGTCCAGATTCTCTCTGTTAGGAATGCGGGCCATGCGCGTATATCCAGCTGTCTGATTCTCAAATCTTACCGCCAGAACTTTGAAGAGTTTGGGGATCAAATCTTTTTCCTGAATGAAAAAATATAAATCAATGTAGATGTCCTTTACTCAGAAATACTGTTAGAACTTTTTAAGCAATGACTGAAAACTTACTGTTAGCCAGAAATCAGCCATTTTCATTGACTTTTCATCAGTTTCTCCCTTTTTTGCATAATCAATCATCTAAAAAAGAAAACACAAATGTTAAAAAAGTATATTAAAAAGTCAAAATAGAAACAAAGTCATTCAAAAACAATAACAGTTTTAATGAATATATAAAAATTGATGTAAACATTTTAATTGTTGAAAACACAAAACTCTTTAAAGGGATAGTTCACACAAAAATGATTTAGACTCATCATCATGAGTCATTATTTAGTCAACCTCAAGTTGTTCCTAAACTACAATTGTTTTTCTTCTGCTGAACACAAAAATATATTTTGAAGAATGTCAGTAACCAAACAGTTGATGGGCCCCATGACATCCTTTTTTTTTTTTTTTCAATGGGGATCATCAACTGTTTGTTTGGTTGCCCATATTCTTCTAAAGATCTTCTTTTGCAGAAGAAAGAAATTCAGACAGGTTTGGAACTTGAGGGTGAGTAGTCAAAATGATGACAGAATTTTCATTTTTGTTTGAACTATCCCTTAAATTACTTTAATCAGAATATATATATATATATATATATATATATATATATATATATATATATATATATATATATATATATATATATATATATATATATATATATATTAGGGCTGTCAAACAATTAATCGCATCCAAAATAAAAGTTTGTGTTTACATAATATATGTGTGTGTACTGTGTATAATTATTTTGTATATAAATGCACACATGTATATATTTAAGAAAAATATGTTATTTATATATAAAATGTTTATATTTATATAAAATATACATTATATATAGGCTACATTCAGTCTATATACAGTATATATACATGCAAATATTTCTTAAATACACATGCATGTGTGGGTACTTATGTATTAAAAATAATTATACACAGTACACACACATATATTATGTAAACACAAACTTTTATTTTGGATGCGATTAATCGCGATTAATCGTTTGACAGACCTAATATATATATATATATATATACATACATACACTACTTTATATTTAATATATAGGCCTACATATTAATATATTACGATTTTTACATCACGATAAAATCCTTATTCTGTCAAAATATTTTTTACAAATATTTATAAAGTTTGACGCCGTTTTATTGTTTTAAATTTAACGTTTAAAATATTTATTTATTTATTTATATAGGCTACTAAATGTAGGTACTGAAACCCTGTAGCCTGCTTGTAATGTTACTTGCCTTTTCAGCGTAAAAGCGAACTTCATCGGCTCGGGCTCTTGTTGTCTCTATTCTCTCGTGTCGAACCAGACCAGTGAGTATGTTCCGAAGCATGTTGATTCTGGACTCAGGTCCGAGTCCCATCCGACGAGCCACTCGGCCATGGGAAATCAAAGCCCGCAGGGTGAGTCGCATTTCAAGAAGCGATGAAGGACACTACTCCAGAAAAGAAATCCCCTTTGTTACACAACGCAAATATACTGCAAAAGTAAAGAGAACTCAGACGAGCACTGCTGTGATCAGCGACTGCATCCACCGTATATAAACAAGTGCATTTATTTAAACTAGAGTAAAAAGTTGTACGTTCAGACTCTGGTTCAGCTACAATACATGTGAGATGGTACGTCGGTCTGAAGAGTCCGGAATGAAAAACAAGATTTGATTAAGGTTCCGCTTGCAAGTTTTGACAAAAGCGATTACATCAAGGACCAATTAAAGTTAAAATGTAGCCTACCTCTTAAAAGCTTTATGCCAGTTTTTCTTATCATATTTTAAGTAGATCTGAGATAGTTACATTTGATCATTTATTCAGAAAATCATATTTTAAGTAGTTTTAAGTGTTCCTGCCTAAAGCTTAAAAGTTCTCCTCTGAGTGTTCCTGTCTGTGCTTGGAGTGTCTGATGTCCATATGTATATAAACTCCTCCAAAAGGCTGCTCACTAATAAAATTAAAGTAGAAAAAGTCTTGGGGTAGGCACCCCAAGAAGTAAAAGCAAAGCTTAAATCTTAAAGTTTAATTCTGTCATAAAAAATGTGTTTTTAAAACAAACCTTTATCTGATTATGTTTAGGATGCAGACTCTTCATGCAAGAAAATTTATACCGAAATATTCAATATACAGCATTGTACAACCATTGTCTTCAGCCATAAATTGTAGAAAATACAAATCATATATGTTGTTGTTACAATGTTGTCCTTTGGCTTAGTGTGCAGCTTCTTTTTAACATTTAATCAGCTCAAAGACCGGAGATGAAAATGATATATTTTGGCTGAAATTGCACATTTATATAACATTAGTGTTAATGTGATTTGTCCTGGATAGACAAAAACAGAGTTTACTTTTTATTATGCATTCAAATCAAACGTACCAACACAATATAACATAAAACGTTATACAAAAATGTATAATTATGCTACATTAATTGCACATTTCCTTGAAGCTGCCTGGTTCCAACTGCTGGTCCTTGGCTTTGATTGCCAAGTGCTGCATTTTTGTGGAGGTGACTGGTCCACACCTGCATTGTCCTGTTGAAGGAACAGACATATCATGTCATGCTGACCAGATTTAATGAGTGATTCTTAGAGAAAATCTTAATACATGTTCCTTCTACAATTTCAATATGAGGGTTCTCTAAAAACTAAAAAGATTATGATACTATAGTCATACATTAAATTATTAACGTTTTTACATTATTAAATCTGAAAAAAAGGAGGGAACTTACCAATGCTCTCTTCCGGTTCAGCTGGGACCTGCATGGGCTGAAGGCTCCAGGTGTGAAGTGCTTGATTCTGGCTTCTCGGTTTAGGATTCAGCTGCACCTTCTTGTCAATTTCCACACATATTTTATTTTGGGGAGGTGGCTGACACACACCTACATTGTCCTGTTGAAGAAACAAACATAATCGTGTCGAGTGCTTGTTTGACTAAATCTAACAATAAGGTTCATATTCCACTAATGTTAATTACACAACTTGGAGTTCAGAAAGAAGTAAGAACTACCACTTGAGGTGTAGGAAACACTGGGACATGCCATTATACAGTAGGCTAATAGTACGATTTGATTTTGATTAAAAATAAGCTAGTTACGTGTGGTAGTCGAGTAGTAGACATTTGAACTTAAATTAAAGTGTTCAAGGCAAGCCATTAAAAAAACATGGTGATGCAGGGAGTCTTGTGATTGGTTGTCAAGCCAGCCAATCAGAATTTAGCAGCCTCATCTCTGATTGGTTGGAATTATGGCATATTGTAACGCTGGGTTGTGTTGAGCAAGCGAGCCGTCTGCGCTTAGAGAGCGCTCAGGGCTGGTATGAGAGGAGCGAGAAAGTGAAACTTTGCACATGCGAAAGAGAACATCTGTGCACATCCAAATACTTATTTTAAATGCAAAATAGATTTTCGCTCGCTCGAAATATTTTCTTATCTGCGAGACGAACATTTCTCGGCAAAACTAAGCTCACGCGTGTGCGAAAAGCCCTTTTGCACGCTCAAAATGTGATCTTGCGCGCGCAGAATTGTGACCGAAATCTAACCCCATAGTAATCCACCAGCCGGAATTTGAAGCTTCCCTTGGGGGCCGCCATTGTAGCAGACCATCACCTGCTGTTAGCATTCCATTGACTCCCATTCATTTTGGCATCACTTTGACAGCGAATAACTTTACATCTGAGGCGTCCAAAGACTCCATTTGTCCATTATTTATTTCTAAAGAAACACGACAATGTATAAAAGGTTCCATTACGTTGTATCTTACGTTATGGCCCCGTAGAAACCGTTTTGGTAAAATTAGGCGAACGATTGCGTCATAACCTAATTACAGCAATAATTATTATTATTACTGTTAAACTCGCAATTATGTGTTATAAAGTCATATTACAAAAGTCATGTTACAAAGTTATAAAGTAAATTGTGAGAAAAAAAGTCAGAATTGTGAGATAAAAAGTCGCAATTCTGTCTTTTTTTCTCGCAATTGCGACTTTATTTCTCATAATTGCGACTTTATATCTCGCAATTGCGACTTTATTTCTCACAATTCTGACTTCATATCTCGCAATTGTGAGATAAAAAGTCGCAATTTAAAAAAAAAAATTTATTCAGTGGCGGAAACAAGCTTCCATAATAATATATTTATTCAGTATTTATTCATAAATATGAATGAAGCACTTAGAGAAAGCAGGATATTTTTAAATGCTTTTATTTTCACACAAGTTTTTATCTCCAAAATAAAGAAAAAATGATGGATTGTAGATTTGGAGTCTGTATGTGACTTTGGATCAGCTTTAGTTGTTGCTCATGGTGTCGGCGATCCATTGGCTGAACGAACAGACCTTGAAGAAAAGATAATTCATAGAAGTCATGAAATTCCTTCATGTCATACCAAACATATTGTTTTGTAACTAACAACAACTACTGTATATTACCTTGCCATAGACACCAGGATGATTCTTCTCAGCACAGCCATAACCCCAGGACACAATACCATGCAGCGCACCGTTGCACACCACAGGACCACCAGAGTCACCCTGAAAAAAGAGAAAGACAACCGCTGGTTATTATTAAAATTGTCTCAGGTAAAATTTGTGTGACAACAATATTTCTTGTCATGCTCTACCTGGCAAGAGTCCTTTCCTCCCTCCAGGTATCCAGCACAGAACATGGTGTTGGTGATCATGCCAGGGTAGGATTTGTTACAGTCACTCTCAGACAAGATGGGGATCTCCAGACACTGAAGCTTGTTGGAATCAGCAGCTACAAAGAAATGAATAAAACAACAACAGAGAGGGAGTTAACTCAAGTGCTATGAACATCAAGTGTGAAGGAAGTGACATCATGAGCTCAGTCACTCACTGGAACTCATGGTGTTTCCCCAGCCGGCGACTCTGCACATGGTGCCAGCGGCGGCACAGCCACTGGGCAGGGACACGGGCTGCACATACTGATTGAGGGTAGCGGGCTTGCTAAGCTTGATCAGCATGATGTCACTGTCAATGGTCCAGGAGTCATAGCTGGGGTGGCGGATGACCTTCTGAGAGGTGATGAACTGCTCAGAACCCTCATTAACTGCGATATTGTGCTCGCCCAAACGGACCTCCACACGTCTGAAAGACAAAAATACTGTTCAGAACTGAGGAAGCCATGGACCGGAACATGAGCTACCCTACGAAGATGCCACTTACGACTTGTAGCAGTGAGCAGCAGAGACAACCCAATCCTGGCTGACCAGAGAGCCACCGCAAAAGTGGTAGCCAGAGTTCAGAGACACCGTCCAGGGCTGGGAGTAGGGCGTGCACTCATATCCTCCAACAATCTTGTCATCATCCAAAGCAACTACATACAATGAGAGAGTATCATCAGTATATTGACTCACCTTTTCCATATTGCTATCTCTGAATGGAATCTCTACTCACAGGCAGCTCCAAGGAGCACCAGGAAAACCAAAGACCTCATGACTGCTGATTGAACCGGTTCGATGATGGTTTCGCTCCTCACTCGCAGTATTTATGAGACTGACAGCCTACTGATCCACGCCCCAGCGGTCAGCCATTGACCAATCAGCTCCAAAAGACCTATCTGAAGTCTGATAAGTAATTCACTATCATTGTGTTTCCATGAAGAAATACAGTATTACATCTTGCTTACTTGATTGTTAGAACTCTATATGTTAGGGGCTTCATTGGCACTCCAATGTCACTCAGTGTACACTCTAAAACATTTCAACCCATGTTTGGGTAAAAAATGGACAAACCAAACCATTTGAACCAACAGTTCGGTTTGTTCATTTTTGAACCAGACATGGGTTGAAACAACCCAACCTTTTTCAGAGTGTATAGAGCATGTAAAGTTACAAAATATATTGTTTTTATGTTTAATTAGTGTATCTCAAAGGTAAATTGTTTATGTCATATATTTTCCAAAATATAAAGCCAAAACCTCCTTAACCTAACAGTGAAAAGCTACCTGCAATACACGAGTATTAACATTCTGAGAAACGAATTAGAGCCCAAAATGACATTTTAAACAAAGTGCTGACAGTGTGTAGATAAGACATTGTGTCAATTTTAGATGCAACCAGGGAGATCCAGCAGCTGTGCTGTTGAATACGTAAGCTGTTGGCTTTGTAACCTTAACAGCAGGCTTCCAGGTTTTCAACAGCTGTCCATCTTCTCACCTGCAGGTTTTACATCTGTACTTGTCCCTGACTGTTTCACAATTTAGTCGTAGAACAGGACATTGTTCTTAGTAATATTTCTCATGAACTTCTAATAGTCCTGTACTGTAGTAAACGTCCATCTAACAAGCAATTATATTTGTAGCCAAAATGTTTTTTTTGCTTGTGAAATTTGATCAGTTTTATCAGTTGTCTTTTGTTTTCGATTTCATTGTTAGTTGGTAAACAAAATAATTAATGTTGTTGATACCATAACCTATACAGTATGTTTAAATAATATGCAATTAGTATTTGTGCATCATGCAATTTATTGTGCCTTTTTAATACTAATCTTATTAACTATAGATTGTATTATCTTTGCAATTAGAATGTATAGCATAATAGATATTTCTGTGAAATTACACCACAAATCAGAAAATTACGTTACAATTTTTTAAAAGACTATAAATTAAGGGTAACTTTTGCAATGAAGTAATACAATGAAAATAAAAAGGAATTAATTAAAATAGAAAAACAATAAATACATTAATAAACACACATAAACTTTAGATTTTGCATTTGATTGATTGAAATTGCATTTATTTGCATCATGCTTAATAGACCTTAATCTTTAACAGCAGAGATATAATCATGTGATTTTTTTCTTCTTCTTTCAATTTGGTAAACTATATTTGCATATATTCACATGACCTAAATCATACTATCTAAAGGTTCTTGTGAAACTCTTTTTGATCCTGCATGGTGTAACTTCAGATTTTTGACCTTGCACAGTTATAGCATGACTCTTAATTTTAGTCAAAGGCAACTGCACTGGATATTAATGACCAAGGCTTTGACTTTGGCTATTAATAATTTAGTTCACCATCATTCATTATAGATTCTTTGCAGATACTTCACTTTAAAATTATTGTAAAATTAATTACAACATGCACAAGACTACTGGTCATTGGTATTGTGCCCTAAAGCCTGACAGGTTATCAAGTAGCACAAATAAAGTAATAGAAACAATAGATGTACAGGTCTATTTGAACATTTAGAGTTTGCTAATGGCAGAGTAAATGATCCTTTGCTTATAATAAAGGATCTTTATTTTTTTCCTTGAGAACAATAAAATAGTCAACTAATTACATATTGTACATTTTTATACAAAAAAATTCTTATAAACGTGTCCAGTATTGTTCCTTCAAATTATTTGGAGAAAAGAAAAAAGTGCACAAATTTGTTACAGGAATACAATTCTTTATTATTTCTTACAGTTACTATAGGAACACATTGTTGGTCACATTTATAAATATAAAGTCAAGTTCAATCCAGGATCACCAGGATTAGTGGATTCAATCTATATTGAGATTGTTAACTAGGCAAACAGTTTAAATGTATTATAATAAATAACTCTTGTTCTTTAACTGACAAGTGTCCTTGTCTTCCTCCAGGTTTATGCAGCACAGCACAGTCACTTCAGGCCAGATGAGAATGTCAGACACGGCCTCTTTTTGGAATCAGCTGCTAAAGAAAAAAAAAGTGAGTCTGTAAAAAAAACATTCTTAACACTTAATAATTGGTAACAGTCTGACTCAAAGCCTTTACTCATTGTGTTTCCTCCAGTGACACTGCAAATGGTGCCAGCAGGGGCACATACTGCAGGGCAGAGCAATATGCTGCAAATACTGATGATGTTCCAGTAGTCATGACACATTCAGAGTCAATGAACTGCTCAGAACTCACGCTCAATAATGTTGCGCTCACCCAAACAGACCTCCGACAGAGGAATACATAGCAAAATTGGTTATGATTAGATTTGTTTAATTGTCACAGCTGCACTCAATGTTTTTTCTTAATGAACTTAACGACTTAATGAAGCCTTTTTTTTTCTTTTTCTTTTTTAAATGTGCTGAACTACTATTAGATATTGTCCTTAGCTCTTGTATGAAAAATTATACCGAGGGAAATGCATCAAAATTTACTTGATAATTAATTAATTAATTAATTAATATGTTTACATTTTTTTATATAGAAATATAAAACTATAAAACTACTTTTTCATCTCAGAATCAGGTATTTTGACTTTAAAAGTAGTGTTTCTTGGTAACACTTTACTATAAGGTTCATGAGTTAACATTAGTTAACTACATTAGTTAATAATTAACTAACAGATATTAATAAATGCTATATACGTGCAATGTACGTGCAACTAGGCAAAGCTAGACAGACTTTCTTCTTGAATATTTAATTATAAATAGCAACTTAAACAACACACGCACTCTTTTTGCCACTGTAGAGAGACTGACAAACCCCCCAAGCCAGATTCCCAGTGAAATGCTCTCAGACAGCAAGTGCAGTGAGTTTGCTTCTTTCTTCTCTGAGAAAATCAATAATATCAGAAAGGTGATCAGCTCATCCTTGAGTTGCTCTGGGGTCAGACAGATCAGACCACAACCTGAGAAGGTAGCTACTATGTCTGTTTTCGAAGAAATTGAAGGCAAAATTTTGGAAGAAACCGTACAGCACCTTAAAACATCCACCTGCGCCCTTGACGCACTTCCCACATCTTTTTTCAAAAGTGTGTTAAACAGCTTAGAAGCAGATCTCCTAGAAGTGGTAAATGCCTCACTTCTCTCTGGGAGTTTTCCGAACTCCCTGAAAACTGCAGTTGTCAAGCCCCTCCTGAAAAAGAGCAATCTGGATAAGACCATATTAAGCAACTATAGACCGATCTCAAATCTCCCTTTCATAGGCAAGATCATTAAAAAAGTTGTCCTCAATCAGCTGAACAAATTCTTAAGCTCGAATGGATACTTTGACATTTTTCAATTCCGATCGCATCACAGCACAGAGACAGCGCTCATAAAGATAATTAACGATATTCGCTTAAATACTGATACAGGCAAATTATCAGTACTGGTACTACTCAACCTCAGTGCTGCATTTGACACTGCAATCACAACATACTTCTTGATAGGCTGGAAAACTGGGTGGGGCTTTCTGGGATAGTCCTAAAATGGTTCAGGTCATACTTAGAAGGGAGAGGTTATTATGTGAGTATAGGAGACCATAAGTCTGAGTGGACATCCATGACATGCGGAGTCCCTCAAGGCTCAATTCTTGCGCCACTCCTATTCAACCTGAGCCAAATAATGAGAAAGAACCGAATCTCTTACCACAGCTATGCAGACGACACACAGCTCTACTTAGCCCTATCGCCTAACGACTACAGCCCCATTGAATCCCTGTGCCAATGCATTGATGAAGTAAACAGTTGGATGTGCCAAAACTTTTTTCAGTTAAACATAGACAAAACTGAAGTCATTGCGTTTGGAAACAAAGATGAAGTTCTCAAGGTGAACGCATACCTTGACGCTATAGGGGTCTAACAACTAAAAATCAAGTCAGGAATCTTGGTGTGTCTCTAGAGTCAGACCTTAGTTTCAGTAGTCATGTCAAAGCAATAACTAAATCAGCATACTATCATCTGAAAAATATTGCAAGAATTAGATGCTTTGTTTCCAGTCAAGACTTAGAGAAACTTGTGCATGCTTTCATCACCAGCAGGGTGGATTATTGTAATGGACTCCTCACTGGCCTTCCTAAAAAGACCATAAGACAGTTGCAGCTCATACAGAACGCTGCTGCCAGGATTCTGAGCAGGACCAGAAAATATGAACATATCACACCAGTCCTCAGGTCTTTACACTGGCTCCCGCAGTTACATTTAGGATTGATTTTAAAGTATTATTACTGGTATAAAAATCATTTAATGGGCTAGGGCCTCAATATATTCCAGACAGGCTCACTAAATATAACAGATCACTCAGATCATTAGGATCACATCAGCTAGAAATACCAAGGGTTCACTCTAAGCATGGAGAGTCCGCTTTTGGCTATTATGCCAGCCGCAGCTGGAACCAGCTTCCAGAGGAGATCAGATGTACATTCAAATCCAGACTCAAAACACATCTGTTTAGCTGTGCATTTGCTGAATGAGCACTGTGCCACTGTTCGTCCGACTGTTTTTACTGTATTTTATTTTTTATTCTAAACTGTCTTAATTATTCTTATTTCTTTTGATTATTTAAATTTCTTCTATGTAAAGCACTTTGAATTACCATTGTGTATGAAATGTGCTATATAAATAAACTTGCCTTGCCTTGCCTATTAAAATCTTGTCAGCATTAGTTAATGCACTGTGAACTAACAATGAACAGCTGTATTTTTTAATGACTAATGTTAACAAAGATTTACAAATACAGTAAAAAAATGAATTGCTCATAGTTAGTTAATACATTAACTAATGTTATCTAATTAACCTTATTGTACAGTGTACCGGTTTCTTATGTTAAAGTTAAAATACATTGTTGATGAAAAATACCTTAACAATCCTTATTATAT